CAAACATTAATGAGAACATTAAACTACCACAATCTCCACTGTTATCTGAAAGAGGAATACCAAGATCCAAAGACCATGTATTTATCTCATTTGTATAAGAACAATTAGGAGCAAGTGAGAAGCCAAATGCTAAGCTATAAGATTGGGTGGGTACTGTTGTGTTGTCACAGAAGAAAAATGCTTGGCGGAATGTCGCTTCTTTAGGGAACGGGGGTTAATGTGATTCATCTTCGGTCTATAACCTAAAGTGTATCCCAAGCCAAAGCTTTTTGTGCTGAGGAAGGTTTAGATCCTTTATGAGGTTTTCATTGCTGTCTGAGATGTCACGGAGATTTGCTTTCAACATTGTTTTCACCAGGACAGAAAATGATGGAAGATTCTACCATTCCCCTTATCTGCTCCGATTTTTTCTTGCTGTATGTGTCCGTGGTGCATGTTTTCTTATTTCCCATCATCCCCGGACTGGCCGTAGGGCAAACCGGGCATCTGCCCAGTGAGCAGGGGTCGCCGGGCCGCATGTCTTAAGAAGAGTTGGCTGCGACATGCAGGACCAGCCGCGGGTGGATGTGCCTTCCAGGCATGCGCTGCCAACACTTGCTGCATATGATTGGAGGTGGTGGGAGGAGCGGAAAGAGTCTCTCCATACCCCCACCCACCAAGCTGCTCCATGACAACCGATTGTCCCAGTTTGTGCATGTACCCCACAGCCACTGGTCGCCTGGCAACCAGGACACCAGGAGTGGAGGAGGGATGGAGAAACTGAGGTCGAGGCCTTCCCACACATGAAAGCCAGTGAGGTGCTGTGGCCGCATATAGGGAAAGCATTGTGGCTGGTGTACGCCCACCTCTCTTCTTGCTCACTTCTTTTCCCCCGGTGAAGGGGTCGGATCTGATTCTCCAGGGCCAGATACTCCTTTTTTTAATGGTAATTATGCACTCTGTAACTGCAGTCCTCTAATTAGCAGGCTCATGGCCAGGCTTTTCTATTCAGCGTGCACCTGCTGTGTGCCTGGCTCAAGTTGAAGGGGGGACTGTTCTACCCAGGAAAGTTGACTGTAGATAAGTATTTTGCAGGCTTTATAAGCACTACTAAAAGCAATACTCAAAAAGCCTGTTATAAAGTAATAGTTCTTTATAACTGGCTCTGTACGTGATGCTTTACAATTGGCTTTGCAGTACTGACAAAGCTAGTTATAAAACATTTCTCACAGAGCCAGTTGTAAAGGAGTTTTGCTTAATAATTGGCTTTTCAGTAGTCTGTTATTTAGCATTACTCACAAAGCCATTATTTAGCAAAACTCCTTTATGTCTTGCTTTGTGAGTATTGCTTTATAGCTGGCTTTGTAGTACTCACACAGCCAGTTACTAAGCATTACTCACAAAGCCAGTTACTAAGCATTACTCACAAAGCCAGTTATTTAGCATTACTCAGACAGCCAGTTACTAAGCATTACTCACAAAGCCAGTTATTTAGCATTACTCACAAAGCCAGTTACTAAGCATTACTCACAAAGCCAGTTACTAAGCATTACTCACAAGGCCAGTTAAGTTACTAAGCATTACTCACAAAGCCAGTTATTTAGCATTACTCACACAGCCAGTTACTAAGCATTACTCACACAGCCAGTTACTAAGCATTACTCACAAAGCCAGTTACTAAGCTTTACTCACAAAGCCAGTTATTTAGCATTACTCACAAAGCCATTATTTAGCAAAACTCCTTTATGTCTTGCTTTGTGAGTATTGCTTTATAGCTTTATAGCTGGCTTTGTAGTACTCACACAGCCAGTTACTAAGCAGCCAGTTACTAAGCATTACTCACAAAGCCAGTTATTTAGCATTACTCACGGAGCCAGTTACTAAGCATTACTCACAAAGCCAGTTATTTAGCATTACTCACGGAGCCAGTTACTAAGCATTACTCACAGAGCCAGTTACTAAGCATTACTCACAGAGCCAGTTACTAAGCATTACTCACAGAGCCAGTTACTAAGCATTACTCACAAAGCCAGTTACTAAGCATTACTCACAGAGCCAGTTACTAAGCATTACTCACAAAGCCAGTTACTAAGCATTACTCACAGAGCCAGTTACTAAGCATTACTCACAAAGCCAGTTATTTAGCATTGTTCACAAAGCCAGTTACTAAGCATTACTCACAGAGCCAGTTACTAAGCATTACTCACATAGCCAGTTATAAAGGCAGTTTGCCTAATAACTGGCTTTGGCAAGTAATGCTTTATAATTGGCTTTGTAACCTACTTTAGAGGTTTTCAAAGGGAACTTCACTTTATAACAGGGTTTGGTAACTAGTTTCCAAAACCTTTTCTAAAGTAGTAGCATCCAAACCCTGTTCTAAAGCTACATTCGCATGAATGTTTAGGCACAATGGATATGGCAGGGGCAGGAGTCTGCTACTTCCTACTGCTGTTTTGGCTCCTGTGAGTGGCTAGCTGCATTGCATTTTTTGTGTTCAGAAGGTGCAGTCCTATCACCAACCACCCCGTGTCCGAAGCCCCCCCTGGCTGCTCAGTCTAAAATGCCCTGGCCTATTTTCTGTCCCAGTCTGGGCCTGCTTCCCTGCCTGGTAGCAATGTTGTCACTAAAATAGGGAGTAAGGGGAAACCTACCCTATGGATCTACACTAAGCAGTAAAAACTAAAAGAGGATCTAATCATTCCATGCTAAATCCAAAACTAAAGAAAACATTTTGGCTGGAAACTCTCATTTGGTTAACAACATATGCGATATTATGCAAGCTCCGTATTAATTGAATAGAGCATGGAATCAGCCAGGATTCCCATTTAGCCAGCTTCCCTTTAATTGTTGTGTTACTTCTGCTGCCAACAAGACACTGATAGCTTGCTTTGATAACAATGATCCATGCTAGCATTGTCACCCCCCCCCCCCCCCCAACTTATTAATTCATCTTTAAACTTCAAGAAACCTTCAATCTATTTTAGTTCTGTCCTCCGTGTACAATAATTCTGCATCAGCAATGATTTAACAGCAAGGTCAGCGTGCCTCTGCAGAGACGCCTTGTCACATATTTCTGCTGGATAACCCTGGCACTCTCTGTAAACTATCTCAGGAACTGGGATCAACATCTCTCCTGCGTGTCACATACCTTGGTGTCATTCCTTATTGTTAGAGGAACAGTCCGGTCCAGTTTGATAATGGAGGCAGAACCAAGGAAATGAGGTTGATGTGGCCATTATAACAATATTATTTATAATCTTGAAATAATGAAATGTTCCCTGACACGTTTTTCTTCCTGACCAAGTGGTCCTTCAGGCACTTAAACTTTCTTACCACAGCCAAAAGGAGGGCTCTATGTGAGGCAGAGGCATTAATTGGCTGCTTCTTTCAGTCTTGGCTGTAGCCAGGGCTGTGGATAAGGGGGGTACCACCAGTCCTCCTGTACTGGGGCCCATGCCAGCAGGGGGGTCCACGCAGCTGGGTGAATCAGATGTGGTCAGATGGGGTGGTTTCTTCTCCTCTCTCCCTCCCGCTGGCTTTCAGCTGCTGCAGAGAAAGCCATACAGGGGATCAGTTCCAGTAATTTCCCCCTCATGTTCACTAGCCTCCTCTTTCCTGAATGAATACAATGAGTGATCCATAACAATTACTGACTGTGTTCATTCATAACTGAAGCCTTGTAAACTGGGTTTTCTTTGGTGGAAGGGCCCTGTCAGGTTGGCTGTATGGGGCCCCGTGGTTTCTAATAGAAGCCCTGGCTGCAGCAAAGAAACAGAAGTTCCAGATGGCCCTTGGCTGGTTGGACTGAGAGAACCCAAATCAGTGAATGGAAATTTCTGGGTTGTAAGTGTTGTGTTTTTTGTTTTTCTGCCAACAGCTGCTGGGAGCTAAAAACCATTTAAGGCTAGGGTCATATTAGTGCAGGTCGGGAACACATTACCAGATGTGCACACCCCCCCCCCATGCATCAACACCTGTGCCCAAAACCACATGGTGCCACAACATCATACGGTTCCGCGTGGCACATTTTAAAAAAGGGTCAAGGACTTATTTCCACCTTTTCTCAAGTGTACAGCAGTCTATGGGCTTCTGTACTTGCGGGAGACGCACACACATATGTGAATCTAGCCTTAAGTTACGGCAGCTGTTTGGTATATTTTTTTTTATTTATTATAGCCAGGTCTAAAAATTAAAATAGTAAAATAAAGAACATGATTACAGTCTTTTGCCCAGCCAGCAGGTGGATCTTTGAGGTTCATTTTCTCTTGCTTTCCTCTGTCTCTTTTGCTTCTTTGTTGTAAAATTCACATTTACAGAGCAAAATAGCTCAAGCTGAAGATCACACACATGTACCTTCCAAATTTCTAAGATGAGAAAGAGGGACACTTTTTAGCAAAACATACAGTATGAAGGCACTTCTACTGCTGCTGAAACACATCACTATATACTGTGTGCAGCTGATGCCACATACAATTTATACACATTTATTAGTAAAGGAAATTGTTTTTTGGTCGTCTCGGCCCAAACTATTTGTGATTGCAAGGCTGGAGTTAGGTTATAAAGGTAGACTGGGGGGGGTCATTGTAGAGAGTTCTAAGAGTATACCAAGAAGTCAAATGCAAAGTTATTTAGAATCTTTTGCTTGCTTAAAATTGGTCATGCGTTATTAAAAAATTCCCACATGTCAATGCATTTTTGCGTCTGTGTTTCCTTCTACAAAGTTGTTTCAGTCAAGTCCATATAGAAGACAAACATCTTTCTCATCTCAGAACTTTAGAAGCTATGCACACACAAGTGATTGCACTCAAGCAGTGTTTGTATTGAAAACCAAATAATGGTCAGAGAGCTTGTATCAGAAGCCTGCAGTGGATGTGGTTAGGAATAGATCTTCCAACAGGTATTCTCAGATCAGCAATGGCAGTAGTGGTCAGAAAGGCTGCGTCCCCTGTGTACATTGCTAAGTGAAATTTTACCCTTTAGCTGTCTGTTGTTTCATTGTTTTATTTTTTTTTTTTTAACAGAGGCGCTTCTCAGCTGTAATTATAAATTGGAAAAGGAGCAGATCGTTAGGCTAGAGTGGAAAAAAGTGGCTCTCAATGAAGAAATCTCCTTTGTCTTCTTTCAAAACTCTTTAGTGGGTAAGGTTTTGTTTCATCATACGATGGTATCTTGAATGCTATCAAGTATACTATGAGATATTGCATTGTGCTTCTCTGTGGTCATACTGGAACCTTCCGTCTGTTCACCATGGTGAGGCTTTTGATACATCACTTGGCCTTCCTAAAACTGCAATTTTTTTTTCAGGTGCTGGAAATTTTGCTGCACAAATTTCACAAGTTCAGTAACAAAATAAAGTGATTATAAAGTATTTTTTTTAAATAGCAGACATTTCATATCTACCTGCACTGTGCAATGATTTTACCTAGAGTGGCCCCCAAACCTCCTTACGCCCAGTAAGGAGAGAGAGCAGCACCGCTGCATTCGGGCATAGCACTGGATCGAGATTGGGCTTAAGTATTGGGGGATGGGGCGCAGCTGACCATGGAAGGTTTTATACTTTAAAGCAGAGAAGAAACACTCTGCTTTAACAGCTTTAAAGGTCTGCTCCCCACCCCCAGCTTGTGATTGGACATTGCAAGGAGAAGTAGCAGACCTATTTAGGGGCCCTGTTCACACTACCTGCTCCAGTTTAATGTAAGGGCGGCTGTCTTTTTCAGCAGGAGTGAGCCGTGCGTAAGGGGCGGTGTGCTACTCATTTTACTGCATCACATCGTTTCTTTTTTTGGGTAACTGTACTTGAAATGACACTTCATTTATGTCACCGCACATACAGTGCCATCCAGTGAGCTGCATAAAAATGTATATTTTATCGCAGCTCACTGCACTGCACATAGCTGCATTAATTTGTGTCTTTTTATATTTTCCTTTAGCTCAGCTTTAATATCTCCACTGCAGCCTCTTCATCTATTTGCTTCCCAGAAGCCAGCTGCAGTGGATCTGTGCAGGGAAAGGTGGGTGAGAATTTGCAAGAGAGACCCAGAGAAAAAGGATCAGGGTACTTTCTGTAAAAGTACACTTATCCTTTAGGGCCAGTTCACACTACATGTGTTTCAGTTGCTTTTTTTTTCTGCATTCAAAACGCACAGGAAGTAGGTTAAATGGTTGTCAATGTCATTATTCACATCAGTGCTTGCAGTTCCAGTGTGTTCCAGTTGCAGAAAAAAAAGTAGAACATACTGCGTTTCTATAGTGCGAACCGGCCCTTAGGTTGTGTGCCCTCAACCTAAGCCCCATAACTAACCCTCAACCAAAATTTAAAACTGATACTTTACTATACTCTACTATAAAAGCCACAAACAATTTAGACCCACATACAACATGCCAAAAAACTGCCCCATGATGTCCAAAATCCAAACTGCTCTGGAGGCTATTTCTTGACCTAAACATTTTGGCCTAAATTTATGAAGAAATTAGATTTTTTTTTAAAAACATTTTTATTGGATATGTTTTATAGCAGAAAGGAAAACTTTCAAACTTCTTCAAACTTTTTCTTCAAAAGTCTTTTTTTGTTCATATAATAAGAATAAAAAAATTCAGCATTGATCAAATATGACCAAAAGAAAAAAACAATATAAATTTAGTTTGGATACAGTGTCCCATGACCGTGCAATTACCAGTTAAAGTGCTAAATAGCAAAAAATGGCTTGGTAATGAATGGGGTAAGACCTTTCGGGGCTGAAGTGATTAATACATCATTAAATGTATTTTTTAAATGTAAGCAGTGTAAGTACTTGAGTTTGAGCTGCTTTCAGCTTCTTGCAATCCCTGTACAACAGGGCTGGAGTGTGAGAGGAAGAAGCAGTAGCAGGAGCTAATTTGTTCATTCCTATTTAACCCTTTAACTGGCATTTTCTCTGGACAGCTTGGTCTGTTAAAATTGAAAAACTAACAGACTTACTGGCCAGATGAGAAGGAGGAAAAGGCTCTAAGAAAAGAAAAGTAATGCAGCCATCACATCTAAGCTTGGTAAGCTTCAATATATTACATTTTTGTTTTTGGGAAATATTACTGCTTTAAACATTATCCTCTTTCTCTCTTTTTCTCTTGGCAGGTGGCTTGGCAACACGAGCAGATATGGAAACCTCCAGTATCAGGATTAGAAACCTAACAAGAGGAGACTCAGGGAAATATCGCTGTGAAGTCAGCGCTCCTCAAGACAAAAAAAATTTCAATGAAATTACTATCACTTTGACTGTGTCTTAGGTGAGAGAAATCAGGGTGACGTTTTTCGTGCTTAAAGTGAACCTTTGCCGAGGATATGTACACTGAAGTTTATCATATTCTAAAAAAGCACTTGAAAATAAACCCTCATTCACATCTGTAGCTATAAGAATTGTGGAGAAATTATTTTTAAAAACTCACAAGTGAGGCACTGAAATCTCAGTGATTGCTTATGGAAATAGAATCTAGGTCACCTGCCAGGCCTGTAATGTGAACACAATGAAGGTGTTTCCATGCTGTTAAAAAAATGACTGAAACCTGACCTAGAGACTATGGTATGATCTTTCATATTTTTGCAATACATTAGTTTACATTACATGCAACTAGAGAGGTCAGTGATGGCTTGTTTGAAACCTTTTTACTGCTTAAGTGTCCATGGTCTGGGGACAGGTGCACTTTAAGGTGCAAGTTCCTGCTTTCTGTGGGAGCACATGAGCTGACAATAAAAGATAACATGGAAGTCAGAAAAAGGAAATTACTTATTGCACTTCGGGCTGCAGTGACATTTCTGGTTTATAAACAGCAACAGGGGTTACCCCTAAAATGTTTTGCGCTGAAGAGGGCTTTTTGCAACAGCACTGTTTAGCACAAAATCTACCAGAGGTGACTCTGCTACTGTATAAATAAACAAGAAATGTTGCTGCACCCCGGAGTGCAATGAGTCATTTGCTTTTCTGATATGCTGGAGTGACAATCTTCTATTGAGCCACTCTCCTTACACAGTGTGCAGTACATATCTTCTTGAAAATAACATGATAATCTCCTTTAAAGCTGAAGTTTTGCCAAGTTTTACTTTTCTGTACACTATTAGTCACATTACGTACCTGTAATGAGTGTGTCCCCACATTGTGCAATCAGTGAAATCCTGTAGAAAACTTCTGTTCAGGGATGCCCCGTCCTCTTCCTTTCTCTGAACTGCTGGCTCTGTGGTGGTTAATAGCTTCAAACTGAGCTGTTTTGATAAAGTTGTGCCTTGTACCCTCCTCAGTTTAGTAACACTTTAACACCTTTGTTTACTAGCCTGTGTAAGATATACAGATATATGCTTACCCATTTCCAAGCTGTTCCAGGCTCCAGATCTTGTGATCTCCAATGTCAGCCAGCGGCAGCTGCAAGGGGAGAGGAGGGCTCCGAAAATGGCTAGTAAAGCCTGGAGTTGAGACGTCACCCATAGGCTTCAATGGCCCATCCGTTGTCAGTGCTCCCTCTTCTTCCTGCAGCCAGCACTGGCTGAAACAGGGAATCACATGACCAGACTGGAGTGGGCTGAAACAGGTACAAGTATACAGTTGTTTCGTACACAGGTGAGTCAGCATAGGTTTTAGGCGGGGGACGGGGACAGTTTCAGGAGTAGTTAGGATTATCCTGTAATTCCAAATGAACCTGAAAGAGGACTAACATCTAGTGGCGAAGAGGACTTTTGAGGAGACAGAACCAAAGGTTGGGTGAGTTTTACAAGGAGAGCTAGTTTTCTTTTTTTTTTTTTAGCAAAGGCCGGCCTTATTATTTAGGACACAAATCCTGCAGCTGGAAATGGGCTATAAGTATTTTATTTTTATCCTTTAGAAGAAATTGACAGACTTACAATTTTAGGGCTGATTATGCTCAGAGGATTTTGGTTCCAGCTCCATTGTTCATCTTCTAGCTTCCTGCTGGTTCATGTTGTGGCTGCACTAACAGCGGCCTGCTGTGCTGACATTCCAAAGGGCAGGAGGAAAACACTATAGTAACACAGAGTATAAAGTCAGCATTTAGCCAGGCTTGTACAAGCAATTGGTGTATGCAGGCCGCCTATGTACAGGATTTGGGACCTTGCAAGATATGAACTTTACTGTGCATGTAAAGACATTTTTTGAGAATATATACTTTTTTTTATTTTTTAAAAACCTTTATGATAATGAAGAACCTTTAACTACATACTCCCTCTTCCAGTTTTGTTTATTTACAATCATGACCCCAGTTATTTCTAGGGGAAACATGTTTATACATACAGATGTATTTCTAAAAAAAATTATTTGCATACCAGGGAACGTGCATGTACATTGCTTCTGTGCAAATGGGGCAAAAGGTAAATGTAAATAGGCTATATCCTGTGCTGTTCGAATGTAAATAAATGATTTTAAATTGAAATAACTGCATATGCCCACTAGATGGAATTAAGTATGGTAGGAATTTCCTATAATAGCTCCATCTAATGGGCAAAATGGGGATGAAAATTGTGAGATTTAAAATCAATGATTTACCTTTGAATAGTACAGGATATAGCCTGTGTACATGTACTTTCACTGGGCAAATTGCTGTGTGAATTTGTTATATATACACAACTTAGTGTTCTCACAGTTTTCATCTGTTTTAACCATTTTCCACTTTCCTGTTCCAAATTACATCCCTCTCTTGGAATTCTGATTGGCTATTGTATAGACTTCCATGTTCTGGTCATATGCTTTTTGCATCTGTTGGTGACAGAAAGCTATAACAATTATCTCTAGGCTTGTATATTTTTTGGTATTGCAGAAACTGAATAGTACTTGAATAGTAATTAAAGTATGGATGTATTCTGTATAGACTGTATACACAAGTCCCTATCTTTGAAGCAGGTTCCAGACTGTTTTATCTACATCTGTCATACAAACACACATTATGCTCAGCTGTTGTGACTGTGGGGGCTTGTTCAAATAGGTCACTTAAACTGGATGATTGGCAGGCAGTTTTGACCCCTGCTAAGTGCCATCTGTGCACCAGCTCCAATAGAGTATACTGAACTGAATAGCTCCGTATGGATATGTTTGGTTGGCGGGTGTGCAGTGCGGTGGTTTGAATGGAACTTTCAGGCCGCAGCTTGCTTTTCAGAGAGCACTCGGAAACTGGCACCAAAAACACGACCAGAGCCAACTAACCTACTGGTATATCAAGGGTTGTTGGAGGACACCAGATCACCTGCTTGCTAAGAATATACATCCCCAAGGAGATGATGTCAGATTCTACTTGGCACTTTGCATGTGCCAGTCATAACCAATATAATCCTAACTACCTGCTTACTCATCTGTAGCTTTTTCAACCTGGCCAAGCTCTTTCCTACAGAATGAAAGGTGATGAAGGACCAGGCTTAATGAAGTTGTGTCCAAATGATGTTTGAATGCACTAAAAAATTCCTCTTTTTTTAAGTAACTTATGCCAAGGCTATACCTAGGCTAATCTCTGTAGCTGCAGGCACTGTTAAACAATTCATGATCAAATTTACAACAGAAGCACTGAATTTGTAAGTCTGCAGCTCAACTCCACCTGTGTTTATGTTAAAGGTTAGAAGACTGCTGAGTCACTATTGGGAGGGAGGAACTGGGGGAATTTAGCTGCTGAATACATTTTGGTAGAGGGAGCAGGGTGAGCTAAGCTGCTGGGTTACTGCTTTAGCTAAGCTGCTGGGTTACTGCTTGAAGGAGGAGCAGGGGCAGCTAAGTTATAGCTGGTTGGGGGAAGCAGGTTGACTTGAGCTGCTGAGACACTGTTGGAGGAAGGAGCTGGTCGAGCTGAGCTGCTGAGTTACAGTTGGGAGGGGAGAAGCAAGAGTGCTGAGCTGCTGTGGCATTGCTAAGTGGGAGAAGCAAGGGGAAATGAGCTAAGGATATAATTTGAACAGCTTCCCTATTTCTGCAGTAAGTTTTGAAAATGGATTGCTCCACAGTGTAAATAGCTACAGAGGTCAGTGAGGGCTTGTGCTTGTTGTGCTTGTGCTTGTTACGAATATATACATAAATGCTAAAAATGTCAATAGTCTGGCCACCAATTCAAATTAAACTCTAGCCATGATGTTATTTATTAAATCTTTTGACCCCCAGTACCATGATCATGTCTCCACCCCCTTGTGGGTTCTTTCCCACTCAGACTTTGATAATTCTGCAGCATCATCACATCCTGAATTTATTTGAATGAATCCCATGGGGGATCAGAGACAAAACTGCATTGCTGGGGTCAGCTGTGAGGCCAGAAATACAAAGGCAGACGTACTTACAGGGGGTGGGGGGTTTACAAATGATTTTATATGCTTATCAGAGGAAAGAAAATGAATAAGGCCATGCTGCATAGGTAAGTGAAGAATATCAGATCACAAAATATTAATAACTATGGTGCCTCAGAAATAAAGACCGAGCATGTGGCCCCAGCTAAGGCTGGAGTGTAGCTAAATCCTGTTCTATGCAGCAAACCCAGTAATTGTAGGAGATTTATCTGGTGACAAATCCAAACCACTAAAAAAAATGTTTATTTTATACTGCACTTTTAAAAATTAATTGAATTTGGATTCTTTCTGTCTGATTAAGTAGAAATGTATCATCTGCAGACTTTGCATGGCTGGCTGCTGCATTTACAAGACAAATCACTCAGAATTAGATTTGTTTATATTCCTTCTATTGGCCAGTTTCCATTTTGTTTTCTATCCAGGAAAAACAGCTTTTTTTTAACAAAGTGTAAATAATGGACATTCTATTCTACTAATACATAATGCTGAGATTTCTTTTCTTTTACATGGAGATGTACACATACAGTATAGAAGTGTGTGTATGTATATATATATATATATATATATATATATATATATATATATATATATATATCAGCACTTAAGTGTAGTTTTTTTGTTTCCCAGTAAGTTACAGAAGGCAACAGTTTTGAGCTACGTAGCCTTTCCTTATTTCCTACAATTAAGGGGTGCTGTGAAGGGTTTAAAGGCTGCCTCTCCTTATGCAAATGCTTTCATGTCCCTGGTGAAGGAAAGAGGCATATGATGATGAAAACATGATTTGTATGAAAGATAATGTACAGCTTGGGTAATAATTATCAACAAAATTTTTGCATTATGGAAAAGGGACCTGTTCTCACTTCAAGAATTACACAATCTTTTGGTCACATGATACCTGATATGCAATTTAACATTTGTTTATAATGCACAAATCTGTAACATTTTTGATATACGA